TTTCTTACAATTTGCATCACATTGCTAATCAAATTTGAATTACATGTTTTTTCACATGTTTTTTGCACCACTTTGTATATCAAATATGAATTACATGCTTTCTTACATTTTCCATCCCTTGCACTATTTACTACATTTGTTGATATTAACTATTGTGATTCACCTCTCTCCGATGTTTACTTGCTATATTCATAAATTTGCAAATTTTAGTTCAGAAGTAAAATTTGCATATATAAGTGAAAAACTTGCATGTCCCATCTTTTAAGTCATCCACAAGCGATTATAAAACATTATAAATGAGTTTTTTGTACACATGAATTAGTATACTGTCCAACAACTTGAAATCGTAATAATTGATGTAAACTTCAAGGATGAATCCAAATGAGTATCTGTAATTTTTAATAGAAATTAAAATAAAAAATCCATCTTGGTTTGATCTTAATATTTCAAATATCATTGCAAATGAAAAAAATATTGAGAATATTTTAATAGAGACATTTAGATCACAATATAAAAATCAAAATTGAAAGATTTTTTTATCTTGCTATCTTCTTGAAAAAAAGTATTAAACACCTTTCCTCTTGGTATTTCAATGCAATTGTACTGGTTATAGTATTTTTTCTGTTATTTTTTTTACTATGATGTTAAGTATTTTTATGATGTTTATAATTGTTATTTAAGGTAAGCATTTGTCTCTATATAACTAAATAAAATTATTTTTGTCTTGTAATATTATTTGAATTTAAATATTTCATATATAAAATATTTTAATATTTTAAATTTGAATATGTTTTTATAATTTGAATATTGAAATATTTCAATAATTTTTTATCTCATAAGAAAATTTGTGTTAATTTCACTTCAAAATATAAATTTTTTAATTAAATATACTTCTATTTAAATTACTTCAAGTAAATAAAATCTTTATTTTTGAAAACATACAAATCTTAATATGAATAATATACTGTTTGGATATAATATTTCAAAATGATGTTGTAAATTTATTCTAACTGTATCTCATTTGATTACAATATAATTTTAAAAAAAATCTCAACTAATGTTATTAGTAAAATTTGCAAAAAACTCTAGCTTGAATTCGCAATAGAGATAGATTGATTATGTATATAACAAATTGCCATGTTCAGATTGTAATTCAGATCATTATGGCCTAAGTATAACCATGAAGATAGGCAAAAATATTTGATTTAATACACACTATTATTCAAGTGAAGATTTTTTTTCAAAGTTCTTTAAATAGAAAATATTCAATTTCATCAAACGTATTCATTTTCTATGAAAATTTTTGTTTTTTTTCAAAATTTGATTCTTAGACAGAATGAAATAAAAGATCAATGTACAATTATTTTTATATCACTTCAAAAATTATTTTATATTTGTAAAAATTAAAATTTACTAAAAATCATTATCTAATATAGTACAGATATATATTCGAAATGGAATCATGAATTGAGAGCTAATATCAAGATTTTAATTTTTTCAAATCAAGTACTGAGATAAATTGCACAAAATATACATTTGAGTAAAAATTTACTAGATGAAATCCAGTCTTAACGCAAAACACCTTACAAGACTGTACCCAAGGCTTGCAGTACATCGTCACTTACGAGATCTTGTATTGCAAGTTCAACGATAGATTTCAGTTGATCTGAGAAGAAAGCTCAGAATGAAGTTTAGATCATGTTGACCCAATTGCTAGCCTTCTCAGCGATTGTTTTGTACATGATTTAAAAGATTGTAAGATAGATGATGGTATTGTGCCGCTAGTCGATCAGAAGTCTTATATAGTAATAGTGAAGAGAAGGTTTAGAAGGTAATTTCATATTCTTTTCCCCAATGACTTTATCACGCAATTTGATCATAACTTTACATAAATTAAACGAATTGCGAATTGAAAGATAAATTTCTAATCCATCATATTATCATTCTTATATGATGGGTCAAAACTTCTGGCATCTTGAGTAGTCAAAATTCACAAATTTCATGCTATGGATTAATGCAATTTTGCCAAGAATACCAAACTCTACTACGGTAAACTATAATTACAATCCACCAGATATCACTTCTTCAAACTTCCTTGACGCAATTTTCTTATGCTAATATTTCCGCTTTCTTCACACTATGAGCAATACTTTTGAAATCTAACACACATGTTACAAAAACTCATATGAAATTATGGACGATGGACATGATTTTGTAGGTTAGGCATAATTTCAAAGTGCATTATCTGAAGTGAATTATGCAAAATCTAATTAGAATATGCATGGTTAGACATCATCATTGTAGAGTATGTTAGCAATGATTTAGAAGTTGTCCCTGCATTGGACGCGTACAAATGTAGCTATCTTCAAAGCATTCATTCCATCGAGCTTGGAGATCATTGCAATTTACTTTGTTGCCTGAAGCATTAATCCATTCTGCTAGTAATTGATACCAATGTCAACGTACTTGATTACAAGGTGATATGCCACGGTGGTATTGATAATCATAGAATAGTTTCCATGTCAAAATTCAGCGTGAATACGAGCATGAAGTTGTCATAGATTTGACCTTCAACATCTTCAAGATTCCGTAACATTTTTTTGATTATAACTTAAAGGATGACCTTAAGGATGATGTACATACCATGGTGTGTGTCTTGATCGAGATATGACAGAATTATGTTCGCAAAGGGCAACTTAAAGTCTAAAGTCACTAGCTTATTTTCTTTTGAGAGTACCTCTCAACGGAGTGAATGCTCGTTGTTGAGATGAATACGATAGTTGGAATGGCCGAATGTTGGATCAAATATCTTCTTGATGGTCATTTTTGAACGTTTTTTGCACCTACTTTGCACTCACTATCAAATGTAATACAAAATCTGTATGCAACAGCAATGACATGACTCATGTTCAAATCTCCTTTTTGAAATCTGAAGACCGTACTCCTATTAATGCAACGTGTTGGAAGCTGTAAAGCACGGTGTAGCGGCATTTGAACGCTATCTTGTTCCAATCATTTGGAAATTTGACATTATGAATCATTCTGCCATGCATTTGTGAGAATAGTCATTATCAAAATATTAGATTAGACATATTCAACATCTATTATTAAAGTGCATAATCTACAAAGGTTTGGTGAAGGATCTTATGAGAGGTTCCATCGGATAAAATTAATCTTCTTTGATCTCGTCAAGTGTTTTGCGTTCGGAATGGGTACGATCAAATAATTTTATCACATTTGAGCATATCTTTCATGAAGAAATTGTTATTATTTAACAAGTATTAAAGAAAATACATGACCAATCATTTAAATTTATAAGTAAGAGTATAGAAAACTTGAAAATGCAATAGGAATTGATTGCATCAGCTAAGTCAATTACTGTTTTGACTATATAAATTGCATTCAGTATGATGATAAACATGTGTAAGCGCTGTGTGACATATTCTTACTTGAGAATTTAAATAATTTGATGATATCATTTATACCTAATTGTTGATTGAATGAATTTACTCTATAATTATCTGGTATAAAAATTCAAGAATAAATTTTACAGGTATTACTACTCTTGAAAATTATCTCAACAGCAGGATGGTCTTGGCTGAAAATAATCACTTCATCATTTTCTATAAAATCTAGAAAATTACCTATTTACTAGAAATATAATAACTTTTGAACAAATGAACATAACCAATAAAAATAATAATCGGAATAAAAATAATGAATTGATATAAAAATTAATGAGAATGTTTAACAATGATACATTTTTAAATTAAATGTATAATATGCAATTTATGCGATAACATTGATTTTTTGGGCCCTAAAAATCTAAAATCCTTGGAATATATACAATTGAAAAAATTACCTGATTGGATCTTGGGAAAACTCAAAACACTTCATGGGATACAACAGGTTTCATTTTCCACAATTGTACTCTATAGAAGACCATGCATCCCAAAGTCAATGATGTTCCACTAAGATTTAGGGTTACTTAGTATAGGAAGATGAAGTCCCGGCAAGATCACATCTGGATCACTTTAGACTCATGGTTCACGTAGCTTTCTCACACATGGCTACAAACTCATGGTGCCCGTCTCTTTTAAGCTAATTGATCGGAGTCCGGGTTACCCTTTTGAAACAATCGAAATTTGAAGCCTAGTGCATGGTTAGAAAGCCAAACATCTCTCCAACCGATTTTCGTTTACTGAAACTGTTGAGTAAGGACGCCGGGTCCTTACTAGAGAGTTTCTTATTGATCGATTGATAGGAAAAAAGAACAAACAAAAGGAATTCTCTCTATACAATTTTTCTTTTGTCTTGTGGCTAAACGTACGTGATTGCAGTAGTGTATGAATGTTCGATGGCTACAATGGTGCTGTAAGTGATAGGCGAAAAATCAGGGTAGTAAGATTTCTCATACTACTACTTCCGTAGTTGGTTGTAAGAACTTTTATTGGAAAAAGAGTAACGATGGGCTACATGATCGTCAGAGTGGCGTAAAGCTAAAGTAAAATGAAAGCTATTGGGTCCCATGAAGAAAGTTGAGTTTCCAACGGGTCCATGAAGTAATTTCCTCTTATACAATCCCATCTAGTCATTCGTAAGGAGATTTAACAAGTTAAATTTGTATAACATGACATAAACTTTTATACAGAAAGTTTGAAATTTCATCAACGACTTTTGCATCTTGAATACGGGATGGTACTATCTATAATATCTTCAAAATAGTCCGATAACCAGATCCTTTATAGTGGAGCTCATATCGCATCTTGCAGAGCAGCATGAAGGGTTTGAGGGGATCTTTATTCATCGAACTTCTGACGTTGATATTTTCAGGTTACGTTTGGGGCTTCCCAGGGAGGTGGATTTGAAACCGGATGGCCGGATACTGGTAACTGACGTGGAGGAAATACACAACGACAGGACGAAATTAGCGAAAGAGCGAAGTTAAGCGAAATTATGGAAATGAATGTACATAGGAATGGGGCGGACGTCCGACGAGTACTCTGTTGAGAAGTCGGGGAAGACAGGGAGAAAGACAGGGTTTATGGATTGAATCACGACGGTTATGGTGAGGAGCAGAACAAGCAATGCTGGCTTTCCCTTGTTCCAAAAAGTGCGAGCCATTTCGAAACTGCAGAGTCGAGCATTGTTCTGATTTGCGACATTTTCAACATTCAGGAAATTTGTGGGTTCCAGAGTGGTTTCAATGATCGCTTTGGTTATCCTATTAGGCATCTGATGTCATCACGAGTTATTTGGTAGAGGCTGATCTCTATCGAAATTTTCGGTAAGAATTTACCTCGGCTCTGTGCTATTGTGGGATCCTGAGTTATCGGTAAAGATGTGGAAACATGTGCCTGTTCTGCTTGTCGCAGATGTAATCAAGAAAAAGAGATGATTTGGTGGAGTAATCGACTTTTCTAAGTCCTCAACTGTTCCAGACTCCCTTACCACTATACATTTTCATCTGCTTCATGTTTTTCTTAATGCTTTATGTTCTTTGATGAAATTTTTTCCTGTTCCCGGTCGTATCTCTGAGTTTTGTAAATTCTAAGCCATATGGAGCTCTTATAACACCAATAAACTCTTTCTGCATCGCGAGAGTGGACTATGATGATCATTCTTCCGCTTTCCCCATTTCGTCGTTGTACACTATGTCCTTCGTTTTGGCATCTCGGGTTTTGATCTTCAGTCATCGTTGTGTCCCGTACATAGTGATGGGAAAGCTACCGCAGTCTTGTGCCCCCAATACAATTACTGATTCATATCAGTGTTTACCTCTACTTGGACTTCCGGCGTATTTTATTGTAACCTGGTCTTGTATGTGAAAGCGTGCACCCACCTGCGTGAGCTTCAGACTTTTGCCTGGTATTTTCGAAGATACTTAAGTTACATCGTTAAACTCTAAGAATTCTTCTCATGAAGATAGAGTTATGCAAGTTTTCTCATGAATGATCTTTGAACTCGAGTTGACGGATTTCAACTGATGTTTTAATGAGTAAGTATTTATGTTATCAGTCGATGTAATTCATTGAGAAAGCTAGAGGCGGCGTCCAAGCTCTGTTTTTTCTCCAGTCTCTTTAGCTGGCATCAAATTAGGTTGCAATAATTTTATTCTCGATACTTTGTGTAGCTGGATCTATTGAGGTCGGTATTGCTGCCACATTCGCGTTGCTTATTGAAAATCTGCAAGCTACTGATAGAAACTGATATTACTTAAATTTTTTTTTCTACTCTTTGAAGCAATGGGAAGGTCAATTTTCACTGCAGTCGCTCTACTGTTTCTACTTAAGAGCTTGGTTCAGTTCGAGTTAGGGCAAGCGGACAAACATGAGACTTTGGTGGAGGACACTTTGCCAGAGACGGAGATGGAGGGATTCGCATGGAAGACGAAGACTAGACAGGAGAATCGAGAATGGGATGATGAATTTGAAGGCACTCCTTCATTGCGAGTGCTCACGGACGACAACTTTGAGCACGACACTCAAGCCGCCACTGGTCAAACAACAGGATTATGGTTTTCAATTCCTACCTTCTTCTCATTCACGTTTGTCTTTACTGGTGAGCAGTACATGTAGTGGATTTTTCTTTGACTTTGATTTTTCTTCTGGTTCTTCTCTTCACGTTGTCACTCCAAAAGAAAAGGAGAAGAAAGCAATGTCTTTGTTTCGTTGCTTCACCTAGAGATGACAGAGTAGTACTCGTCTGCAGGCTGGTACTTTTTTGGACCCAGCCTTCTGTGCCCTGCCGCGATGCGGAAGCGACTCTGCTCCAAGTCTTTACAAAACTTAAGGATGGACACTTACTTGTCGCAGGGGTAGACTACTGACCTGCCTCATTTATACGACTCTGCTTGCTACATAAGCTTCAGCCTGAATCCTTTGTTTTGGTTCATGATCACGAAGATGACTATTTTGCCTATGTTCATTAGACTTCGTTATTTCTCTCTGGACTTCCATCCCAATATTTGACCGGAATATTTTAGTATTTGAAGGTCAATAGCATCAAGACCGTAGACCCACAATTTCAACAAAAGCAGTTGAAGAAAGCTGTCATATTCATGTATGTACATCTCCTTGCCACTGTACGTTCTTGACTTTGTTGCATTCCTTTGTCCCAGGTAAATATTTCAGCAAATCCACGGACAGTCAAACGCTTTAGTGTCCACGAAGTGCCACTACTCCTCTTCTTTCGTGACCGCCACATGTATAAATACAAAGGACATTGGGCTGCCATGAATATAATCAACTTTGTAAAGGTGAGCCCGGGTAATTTGCTTTGGAGTATAATAAATATTCAAGTTCGAGATTGCAAGGAAAAGTAAATGCACATGCTCTCTGAAGTGAAGTTCGGTTCTTCTGTGTGGAACCGCAGGAAGGTTATAAATCTGTTTCGAAGGAAGAGGTTCCCAAAGAAATTACGTACTATGATGAGCTCCTGGAGACACCTCTACTCTATTATCATGGAATCATTGTGGTATGCATCTACTGCTATGTCCAGAAGTTTGAAATTATTTTGTTTGGAAATCTGTTCACAACTTTTGCAATAGCAAGAATACTTCCTGATTACTCTTTTCTTGGTGGGGAATGCTGCAGTACCTAGCAAACAGACCTGGTATACTCGCGGGAGTCGGTTCCACCCTGGCCATGTGCGGATATCTATATACACGCAAGTGGCTTTTGAAGAAAAAACTAGAAACGAATGACCATGCAAATCCTCGAAAGCGTGTCGATTAGGCGAAAGCTTTCAATTTTCAGTTCTGTACTTGATTTTCACCCGAAAATTCATTGGGTTGAATTTACAATCTTGAATCGATTTGAGAAAATCAGTTTCTAGCACTCAACATGTCAAATTCTCATCGTTTTTGTTCACTAAGCCTCGAACTAAATTGAAAAAACAAAAAGCAATTCAAAGACTGATTGTGAAAATTACATGATCCTTTGGTTAGCAGTTGTATTTTAGTGTGTGTGCCACACAAACCATGGAAGAATGGTATGTGTGGCACTCACGAGCAAGGGTAAGTAACCGCGAGAATTATATCCAAAGAGGGGAATGGGTTCTTCTGTCTTGACATTTCAAAGGAAGTCCACATATCACTTTTTGAGGACAAGTTTTTAAGCGGATTAATCCTTTGAGGGCATAGCATAAGCAGTACCATCCTTTTCGGGACCTGGATAATTCCAGAAAACTCAATGACAAAATGTTCAGTTTTACCAATCAAGGGATTGGACGATGCTAGAGATTGTAACATAGAATGAGATGTAAGACAGGTGGTTTCGGAGTAACCTCGGACAAATTTTCTGGATACAATTCTCTGATGTTCAATGCGAAATAGTCAATAATACCACACTTTCAATTGTCAACTTTCAGCCGTTCTGAATTACGGTTACTATCGCACCGTTTCCGTCGTAAAAGACGATCTGGAAGGATGTTGCTGATCAATGGTTATCAGTCCATGGTAACAGACAACAATGTTTGACGAGTATCGTCTGGAGTGAGGCCTACTTACTAGTGGTGTATTGAGTGCTACATTCAAGCTGCTCCACGGGCGTTAACGGAATTGGCTAAAGTTAATGAATCTGAAAACAATGCAATGATCTCATCATCGACAACTAATGGACTGTAACTTTACTAGAAGGAGGGCTCGTACAAGAATTTCGAATCTACTTTCGGAATAAAGAAATGTACAACCAACTTCACGTAGCAAGCATCTGAACAAGTACTGTGCTTCATATTAGCGTTTGATGAGAGGGCAATTTTATGAAACAATAACAGATAAATTTAAGTAAAGGTTTATATTTTATTTATTGGACTCCTAGAAAGTATCCATCCCGTCAATTTGGCCGAGTGGTTAAGGCGATAGACTTGAAATCTATTGGGCATTGCCCGCGCAGGTTCGAACCCTGCAGTTGATGCCCTGCGTTTTAGCCAAGTCGTGTGGGAAACTTCAGGAAATGGTTGGTTTCGTCCAGCGTTTTGAACTACATATATATATGGTTGCCACCACCTCCAAATTAATTTATCCTTCATTGAAGATAAGGAGATGTTGTAATTAGACATTAACTTTTGCCAAGTCGTGTGGGAAACTTCAGGAAATGGTTGGTTTCGTCCAGCGTTTTGAACTACATATATATATGGTTGCCACCACCTCCAAATTAATTTATCCTTCATTGAAGATAAGGAGATGTTGTAATTAGACATTAACACTTATAAATGTTTCTACGGTCTACAAGGTAGTAAGTAAGTCATGTCCTTAATTGAATTCTTGGAATCAACCAATGTAATTTAATAAACAAACATGGGGCAAATAATATAGAAAAAAAATGATAATATTCTATTAAACGATTTGGTGTGTTGTTCATGGAGTTATTTATTTCATGTGATACCATCATAAACTAAATTTCTTATTGGAACCGTTATCGCATAGTATTCCACCGACATTACACGAGTTGCACAAGGAAGTTTACTTAATTTGGCGTGAAATAGCTTGAATCGCGTTGTGAGCAAAAGAGTGTTTGCCTGATATTCCTGGTTTGGGGGCAAAATCATGTACAAATCAAAAATTGATTATTGAAATTGTTTCGTCACGGTTGCACGATGGAACAGATTTACCGTTAACAGTGTTGAATCTTACACCAACATCTTTGAAATCTTTCGTGATTCTTCGACAAATATGACTTGGTTCAAACAGCGATATGATTTACAATGAGCAGCACACAAAGTATAAACCAAGCGCGAGTTTGTACAACAACATCTTTCAACTTTTCCAACAGATTTTGACTCAAATTTCACTAGATTGATCACATCATCCAATAGATTGAATAGAGAATTTGACACGCAACGAGAGATCGCGAGGAACAAGTGTGAAAGTGATAGTAGAAATTTATGATCGTAGAGGTACACTAAAGTTTGCGTAATAAATTTACAAAAACATGTTTTAGAATTTTGCAACGGTGTGCAGTTGATAGTATACCCTTCGGATAAAACAAAACCTGATGGGTACCATCAAGCAATTTAGGTTCCTTTTGATGTTTCAGCCAGTAATCTTGTTCTTCATGTGATAGTGGCCGAGATAAACATGATAGAATTAGACTTTTTATAGAGTCAAGTTCTTGTATATTTCAAGTTTGAACAAGACTTTTGCAAGGTTTTAAAAGATATACATTCCATCATAATTCATCACAATCAACTATTTAGAGTTAAAACTCAAAAGATTCATAATAAAAAGCAAAATCCATGAAAATGATGAAGTAGATAGTTTGTTACACATCCTTTACATATCAATTTATTTAGTTTAAGAAGACACAAATAACATAGACATAAAATGTCTAATAAATTTGAATTTCATCAACAATGATGTATTACTCTTATTTTTGCTATTCAGGAAATTTGATTCATATGTATTAAAGTTCTTATTTTGTGTAACAACATTCGTGGGTAGAGATTTTTACTTGTAAATAAGTTAAATCTTAGATTTTTTCAACTCTTTTAATAATTTGAATTCATTGAAAGAAATATGTTTACTAAAAATTATTGCACATGATTTGAATTCATTGAAATAAAAAAATATATATTAACAATAACTTTACATGATTTGAAAGCATTGAAAGAAATGTGCTTACTAACAATAATTGTAGAATCTATCAAATTTCATAGCTTATAATATTACAACCTCCTAACATATTCAAGAAAACTACACTTATTGTATATAAGATCTAACTTGGTCATATTATTCTTAAGTATCAGATCTCAAACAGTACGTACAAAAATTTTCAAACAACTATAATCAATCATTTGCTTATGCTTTAATTCAAATGATGTCAAGAAACTGTCAAGTTTCATTGACAAATCAAAGTATTCATTTCAGTATTTCTCGGAGAATAAATTTAAAGGTTATGGATATTATTGTCACCTCTACATGAGTTTAGAGAGTGATTGTTAGGTTGTTACTCAAGTTCGTTTTTACTTCAAATTTTGGCTATGACTACTAAAAGTACAAGATCTAATAATGTTGTTAGATCAATGTTGTTTTTGTGGTGTTTCCCATATACATTTCATTTTGTTTTAGACTCTTGTGTTTCTCGACTTTTGTGATCATTTATTTGTATCAGCTTTGTATATTGAAATTTGAAAAATTTCGAAATTTTTAATTGAAATTCATGGATGAAATAAGTTGAAACAAAACATTCACATGCATAATGTAGAAAGATGATTTATAATCAAATATCTTTGCATGTTCTAAATCAAATTAAAAATCATGCAACAATGATATAAAAATTGTATTTATTATATTTATGATGAAAATCTTCAATTTCAAATCATAATTATTTAAATTATAATTATTGTCAGATTATAGATATTTCTGATATGATCATAAATCTGGATTAAATCAAATTTCAAATATTTATTAGGTTGAATTTAAAATGTAATTTGAATAAAACTTGATATATTTTAGTAGAGATGCACAAGGTAATTTAGGATTTCATGGTTGAAAAAAGTATTAAAAAAACACAAGAAGAATTTCATTTGGAACTGTGTGAAATTTTTGAACAAAGTTACAAAATATATTAGATTAAAAAATAATCAAGATAATCTAAAAATATTTACAAAAATTAAATTAAATAAAAATAATAAGATTTAATCATGAAAACATGAAATTGAAAAATAAATTCAGATTTACGCACTTCTTTTCAATTTTTATTAGATATATGTACATTGTGTTGAAAATGATTGGATAATAAATGATTTATGTTTATATATTTTTGTTAATTTATTCAATTTGAAAAACTGAATAATTTTTTAATACTGCTAGAATGCTTGAATTTTGTGTAAATTTGCAATATTACATGATTGTTAGTTCATAAAACAATAGTTATGCAATTTTTTAAATAAAAATAAAATAAAATTTAAAATATGAAATTAAACTGTAGTATTCTATACATGAATGATTTTTTTGTTTGTCGAGAGTTAATAATTCATGCGCTCATAGTGATATCAATTTACACACAAATTTACAAAGGGCTGTATGGATGGCAATAATAAATTATAATCTTGTAATCTTTTGATACACTATAAACTAAAATTTATAGAATATATATGTTTGAAACAACCTAGTTGCTTTACGGACAATCATTTTAAAGAGTTTACGAAGTTTAATAATGTTTAATAATAAAAGAAATGAATAAGTTTTGACGAGAAATATTTCATGTATATAGTGGTAGAAGAGAAGGTAGATCTTCTAATTTTATTAGCCATTGATTAATTTTGAATCAAAATCACTGATAATACTAATAGCATCGTTGGCCCAAAAATCATGTATTGGGAAGACAAAACGATTAATCGTCTGTGTTGAGGCAAAGGGTGGATAGAGCAGGAGTTCCAGAGAATAGCTCAAAAATAAAAACCTCGATGTTATCTGCATTGGATGAATTTTCTGAGACCAAAAAGTGTCAGGATGAAGAAGATATGGTTTATCCAAAGGCGCTTGATGCTTGCCACCAAAATTGCAATCATTGCGTTAAACCATTATCAAGGATAACATGTACAGTTCGATAAATGATCTGTAAAGTGATCTGCGACGAAGTATGCATCTAAAGATTTTCGTTCGTCAGAAAACGTAAGGATTGCGATGATCTCGATTGAAACTTGAATGAGATGATCTCGGGATAGATTTGCATTTCTTCGATCTCACCGAGATGATCTCGATAGATCGATCATTTACGATAGATCTGATCGGGGTCACAAATCCAACGCGATGTTCGCGCGATCTGCGACGATCGGGCCATCTGCCTAGGTTCGATGATCGGAAAGAGTTAGGATTGCGATGATCTTGCTGCACTCAAGACCTACTGTGAACGAGATGATCTGCTAATCGAGATCATCGATCATCTAAGATAGATGTGATCGGGGTCACAAATATCGCGAGATTGTGAGTGATCTACGTCGATCGAAGCATCCGCTTAGCTTCCATCGGCGGAAATCCTCTAAATCGCGATGATCTTGATGGGCTCAAGAACTACTGTGAACGAGATAATCTCTTGCTTCTCAGATTGGGACATCACTTTGATACCTTCATCTGCAACTTGATCTTCGATCAAGTACGAATGATCCATCTTAGCCACAAATACGAAGATCGACGACTCCGCTTGGCTTCAATTACAGAAAACGTTATAACTGCGATTATCTTGTTTCAAACTTGAGTTTCTCTACACAAGCATTTCAGATCGTGATTTCAGCTTAAAGCTAATCATAATATATCCACAGCCCTAAACTCTAACCATTTCTTGCTAATTACTTGCCCCCCTCCAACCAAATACATATGATCGACATGAACGCCTCGATCACCTTCAGATCCATCTACATTTGATAATGTATTCAATGCAAGGCGACGAGCAGTTAGACTCAACAGGAATTAATGCTGAAATTCGACAGAAGGAGTTGGCATCGAGGCTTCGCTAGTTCACTTTGAATACTCCAATCTCAACATGAGAAGTGCACGGCCGGAATCTTTTGGCACTGACAGTCAGAGAAGAAATGAAGAGAAACTAGCCACAGCTACTAGTGCATCGAGATAGACGTACGGGCCTTGGTCTAGACCATCTCCGAATTTCAGAAACTCTGGAACTGGAGGATCTTCGCTTTCCTCTGTCTCAGCTCGGCCGGGCATGGCACCGGAAGGCACCGAATCGACTTCACCTTCCGCAGTTCTACTCTCGTGTTTCGTTTGCAATGAGTTCATCGAGGGCCCGCTGCTTGTGGACTCGGAGCTCGTGGTCCAATCGCAATGAGGTTCACAGGTCCAAGTTCTCTCTGCAGAAAAAATTGAAGTGACGTGCCCGGCCACGTCACAAGGAGGGATTGAATGCTTTGAGTGGCCCTGAGAAACTGTCGATGTCGGGGATTTTGAAATACCATCACAATCAACCCAAACGATGGGCTTCTTTGTGCCTCTGTAAAATGTCGGTGTGCAGTTTCCAGAATCGTTATCGGAAGGCAGGTTTCCCGGCCTCAGTGAAAAGCTTTCTGATTCTGAAGAATCCACGCCTTTTACGGGAGGATTAATCTCGGAAGGGACACTTTCAGTTGCATTTGCAGGCACTCCAGGCATCTCATCTGCACTCAACCTTGCAAGATCCGTCTCGCATTGGAGCTTGGGAATTTTGCAAACCTCCTTCTCAGCTGGAGTCTTGACGTGTATCGACAACAGTTTCGGTCTCCTCCGTACCCTCCTCCAGAAAAGGTACCAGCAAGAAAGAACAGCAACGATCACAATAACGCCGAGCTGTACAAAGGCATGGATTTGAGCTATCATTTTCGATTTCCTGCAAAGGGAAATAGCCAAACAAGCAGAAGACCATGGCTGTCGTTAAAAGAAATTCGAGATAGACGTAAGAAAGTTCGATCGAAGCCATGAAAAACGTCGTGTCAAAACTTGAGCGCATGCATAATCATGATGGAAATAACAGTAGCTTGTCAGATTGGTGTCCTTTCTCAGACCCTGATCATTAGTGGTCACTGACAATTCTTGGAGGACAAACTCATGCTGACAAGGAAGAGTTAGCAGATTCCCAGACTCAACGTTGACGGCCTATGGAGGACGAGAAGGGACCTTTTTCTTACTTGTCCGTCAGTTGTGGCCATGCGCAAGTCCAAACGAGATTAGAAAACAAAAGGAATCCAAGCTCTAAATATGTAATGGTTTCAGAGGTTATTTGAATCAAGTCATCGAGATTGCCTATAGTCAGCTGAGAAGGATTCGTAAAATTTGTTGGCTGTCTGCGTCTTCAAAACGACCCTTGTACCCAAAGTACTTCCTGGAAGTCAAACATTTGAACTATAAATCTCTTCGAAGTTCACTTGCACAAGGCCAGCTGCAGCTGACCCATCTCCTTTTGCCTAACGCACGTCCCTTTCATCAAATTTGAACGTGGCTTTGAACAATCCTCTATTCCGACAGAAAAATTCCGGAGAAAATTCAATGAGGAGTTCGAACTCAGACCTCGTTTTTCACCGAACGGCTTCACTGGTGGTCGGCAGCTGAAAACTGATCTCACTGCGCTCGGCATGCACATCTCGAGATCCTCCTGACATACCGTTCCTTACAAGTGAAGGGAGAAGAATCTAGAACGGCACCGATCATAACTGCCGAGAGACATTTGTAAGATCGAAACAAATAGCTGCATTCAGCGTAGTCTCCTTATAAAAGAGGAATCGCCCATGAAACGTTCAGTCCTGTTCGGCTTCCCACCAGGGGTCGATTCAGCTTAATAGCCGATCGATCACTCCAGCTTGATTTCTTGTCAAATTCGTAATCTTCTCAATATTACAATCGACTCATGTTATAAGTGAACCAAAAAATCAACCACGTGCTGCTCTAGTTCGGACTCGGTGATGTTGTAGGAGAGTGGATACTTAGCTTCTGTTCTGTCCTGATCCGAGCTTGAAATTGTGTTCGTATCTTGAAAAGCCCTTCGGTACACCAAATCCTGGCACGAGGAGGGACAAATTGGAGATGAATTAGCATCAGTTTCAGTTACCAATCACATCTAAGATTCATCAATTGCTTCATCTGCGGCAACGAATGGGCATCACTTAGCATTCATGCTGACAATCACTCACTGGATGAAGTAATATTAAGGTAAACAAATATTGCTCAACAGAATGTTGCAATAACACCAGTAATTCCCAAAGCATTTAGAAGGCATCCTTCAGAAGAACCATTCTGTCTTGCATCCTTGCTAGGCCTGTTTTGATTTCTGTACAGCGTAATTTGATTCCATCGTTCCGAGTCCGAAGAAACTCTTCAACAAGATCATTTAGATTCGTCTCTTCATCATTTGCTCCACTCTCCAGACCTTTAGCATCCGGCCCCCGACTTTGCTTAAAGAGTTTCATGAGTTGCAAGGTAAGTGCTGCAATTCTCCAAAAAACAAATTCTTCGATCCAGAGACGAGCAGCTGTAGAGCAGGACAAGCAAACACTGAGGGCCTGTATAAGGCCTGACTACAGATACCGTTCATTCTATTGTGGTGTAAGTAACTCCAAGAGTAGGTCCGTAAACAAGTCATTGTCCTGATGAAACCAAACCTCATGACTCCAACATCTTTCACTTGGATTTTTGATTCTCGAAGGTTTCGACGTACATGAGTCGTATCCATGACCTCCGAACTACATCGATAGCCTCCGCATATATGCTTTCATCACTTCGTCTTTCTTCGACAGGTTCAAGTGCGTTACATTGAGTTCCCAAACTTTCCATAATCAATAGTCAGTTCCCCATCTTCCGTAATCAAAAGTGAAGGTCTCAGGGTAGAACTTTCTTGCATAACACATACAATGTGAAAACTTCATCCTCGTTCGAACGAAGCATTGTGAACGATCAGCATCGTTAGAAACTCTTCGGACTTCCTGAAATTTGGCGAACAGCTGAAAGTTAACGAAGTACAGTATATTGATCATTACTTGTTTATGTCGGGATGAAGGAATTGCCGATACCTTTACACATCTGCATCAAACAGCACTCAAACCTGTCCACAGGATCACCTTGCGGAACAGAGTGTCTTTCCACTCAAGGAAGATACAAGAAATAATGTGGAAAGGGGCCACGCAGATGTGACCGTGTGGATTGTTCAACAACCAAGAGATAGTGAAGATGGAAAATATTTCCTTCATAGAAAAGCATAGCCGTACATACCTACCTACTGTAGTGGAGTGGTCTGACAGCAAGACAGGGTTTCCTCACGAACTAACTTATAGAGCCGCACACTGACAACGAAAGAGATTCTTTTCGTTAGAACCTTTATGTGGCCTCATATTACAATTTATGCTGGTGTACCAACGATTGACTTGATCCTTGGTACAATAACAACTGTCTCATTCTGAAAGAATAAAGGAGCTTAGTGCGATGGTGACAAATTGTGCTACCCAGCCTGAAAGAGAAGTAGATTGGAAAGGTGTTTGAAGCTTGTGTTCGAATAACGCTCCAGTGTTCATGCAAGATTTAACTATCGCAATGGAAATGTTCAACGTGTAACACTGGCACATGCATCTCCGAGTCATCTGTATGGACTCCGAGCGATGGTCAAACAATGTCAAATACCACCCTGCGTCACTCCCTCATGTGTGTGCTCTAGTCTTGTTGGTGACGAAAACAGAACGAGGTTTAGAAATGGGGAATCAACATCAGCAGGGCAGAATGAATTCTTTTTTTCTTCTTTTACCTTGCCAGTAGATTTGTCGTAGCTTTGACAGCGTACGCCTTGTCAACGCGATATCAGGATTTCTACTACTTTCAAGTTGGAAGATACCGTATTCGAATAGGAATCCACATGCGTTGGCCTGTGACATAATTGTGGTATTGTCGGACTAGCTTTGAAGTCGTGAGATATTTTTTTATTGCTGACTGGTTAAAAGACGAAAGTCATTCGAAGTAGGAAAGTGGTCTCAAAAAACAACGCCGAGAACGTCATGAAGAGATCTCCATTTAATCCCATGTATCTGAATTCACTGATACCAGATCATTCTGAATCTGACTGCGAATTTCTACTGTTTCATCCAAGTCACAGTCTGTACTTGAAGCTCTCTTCAACGTTATGACATGTCGTTGACATTCAATTGAAACCAGTTCTGTGTTGACCATCGATCTGGAGGGCGTCATCGCACCTGACAGCGTGAAGTTATGGCCAGATTCAGACACAATTTCAAAGGTCCGAACCCAACTGAGTTCATAATAATCTAGAAGCTCTGCTTTCCTTCTGCTGGGTCCCAATACATCTGGATAGCATGACGGGTGGCAAAAGAAAACCTGGTGTAATTGAAAAGGAGCACAGCTGGGCATCGAATCCCCGTATATTCAGCATAGGAAAACCAGTTCATTTTTTGACCACAAATGCTGGATATCACTTCATTTAATGCATCCGCAACTATAAAAAGAGGCTACCGTTCACAGTGAACTACCGCTGCCCTAACATACATATCTCAGAATAGCTTACGGGGGAACTGGTCTCTGGCTTGATTCTGTAAATATCGGGGACAAGTTTTTGCCGGTCTTAATGTGTGAAAGATTTGGCTGGCTGCTGTAAGAGTGCTGTTCGGCATGAAACTGGAAACATTCGGACGGGACCTTGGGGAATGCATATAATTATTGTCCTTTCGCTCGTCTGAGATATCGTTGGTCGAGCCACAGGCATTTGATACAGATGATTCGCAAGGTCCGGAACATGAGTCAAACGAGACTGTCACACGAGCTCGGGGGCGACCGTTCGAGACATGCGAGAATTTCTCACACTAAGAGGCGGAGAACTAAGAACGATTCGTCGATGGAGTAGGCCTCAAGGCTCAGGGCCAGTAACCATAGAGGTTGGGTGAAAAGGTAGAGAATCTTTTCCTGGGACATACTATGTCCGTCGGGTTGTTCGTAAAGCGGAGACCACTTGCAATAACTCGTTAGTTTCGACTCTGAGAGCTCTCGCACTTTGAGACCAGCCTTATTCCTCATGGACTACACTGTTATCTCTACTGTTTCTTATGCTACCACGCTCGAGCTCCTTCTGGCCCTACTCTGGCTTTTCCTCGAGCTCTACAATGCACGTGAAACGAAGATGTTTTTACAATCATTCACCGGAGAAAGAGAACACAACTGACCTGGTAGGTGTGACATATGTGCCGAATTCAAAGGTGATATCGTTGGAAATTTAAAAGCACACGGTACACAAATCTCAATCATGAGCAACTACAAATAGAGCATAAATCGGAAGAGTACAAAGGGCAGAATCGAGAAAAGAAAGGAATATATACGAGAGAAAGAGATCGCAGGTTAGACTTTTGTGGTCCGATACTTCCATTATAAGAACGTGCCTTTTGCACTTTTAGATGCATTCTTCTTGAGACTACAAGTCAATAAAACTAGTATAAGGGTGATGCAAAAAAAATCATATGATCTTGCAAAGAGACACTGGACAGGAACTGATTACGTACAGTTGTATGGTCCACTCTAATTCGCATCGCAGGGATCCAAAAGTGGGGCCAGACTTAACTCAGACTTGGTCAATCAGACGATGCGCAAGACGGGCATGCAGATTCTGCGGCCGAACTTGGAACTGCATTGTCGTGGATTACCGTCCTTTTCAGATCTTTATGTAGTCACGGAGCACCAAAATATTCTCCCGGAAGGATACTAACGAACTGTATAACATCGACATTCAGCCGAGGATGTCAAGGAATGTCGATGTCATGAACTAACATGTTATCGAAGAACTGCCCACTAACAGGCTCTTGGCATTTTATTTCACATCTCCTACAACTTCTCACACATTCCCAATGCGTGAGAAATGTACAAGATGAATACAGATTAAAGAGAATCAAGAGAATCAAGAGAAACAGATTTCGCTTTTCTCCTGACAGGATTCGAGCATGCAATCTGTGGAAGTAACGGACAATCCAAAGTAGTGACACTGGCATGATATTCGTCCTCTCTGTAATTCCCACCGAGACTTGATGCTTCAAGAATCCCAACAAACTAAAGGGTCCGCTCCAACACTTACCATCCATAGACAGTGCCAACCAAAGTCAAGCGATTGACTGCAAGTCGGAACATAGAGTCTGACTCCTAGATTACAGACTCTCATCTCATATTCCTCTCTTTTTTAGTTACGAACATCTTACCGGTATTGCTTACTGCCATTGCTGTACAAACAAGTCATAATGTCTTGTTGGTGTCAGATCCTAGGCTAATGCTATCTCAGACCACTAATAAGCAGCCAGTAACCAAGGTTGATTGTGGCATTGCACGTCATCCCTCCAACCATGCCAATGCGAGCCATTCATACATGAGAGTCATCAACTGAATAATTGCAGCAAGAATGAATAGAACAATCTGGAATCGTGAACCGGATCGTTGTTGATACTCTCCACGTTCCGATGTTCGACGCTGCACCAAAGCTGGTCGAGAGCAGACAGAGTAAGCGACTATGCAACTGGAGTTCTGACCAGAGCGTGAGATGGAGCGGCTGCAGCTCGCAGTTCTCGAAGCAGATCCTGAAAGGTTTCGGGCCGACTGGATAAGGACGCTTCGTTGCAATGCAACGCAAAGCTGCAGGGGTCACGGTACATTCTGCCACAAGGGTACATGCCTCAGCAGCAGAACCCGCGAGCTGAATGATGACACTGTCTACAGCGGGTCACCGGATCCATGTACACCTGCTAAGCCCGTTGCTTTCAAAAGGATACCATTCCACCAATTGTCCACCGGTGATTGATCAGTAAGAAGCTGACACGCCGGCAACTTTTGCGTGAGAAGCCTTTACGGCACGACGACAGTAATGAACATTCTCTCAAAGCTGACAGGAAAAACGAAACGGGAAGTTACTGAAAGCTTCGATCTAGGTGAGCGCCTCGCATCGCCAGCGGCCATAAGTGCACCTCCGGAATATGGAATCTACACTTTCCATATGACATATCTCAGATATGATATCTGTTATCGCAGAAATCAAGTGAAGGCCGTAGGCACCATTATACGTACGTATTACATTCTCCGATGACGAGTACTTTTGACTGACGGGGCTTCGCCGAAGTGACGTCCTTATACAAAACTCTACGTTCTTAAAGTCCGGATTGCCACGTCAGCAAGCCCGAAAACACCACAATCCCCACGTGTCTCTGTCAGAACGGTTATCAGCTCAACTGAATGTGTCCAAAGGGACGGCAACCCACTGACTGAATGAATGGATACGGAGCGGACATTACCCGTATCGCTTAGACCCGAGCTTACCTCAGTAGGTCAGGAGTTACATAAACTGCAAATATAGCCATAAGCGCAAGTATGGGCAGAACCGAGTACCGGTGCCTCCACGTCTTCAATGTGCGCTTTCGGTGAACTTTGCAAAACCACAATTTGGTAGCACTTTATCATCATATTTCCAACTTTTGAAATTTTTCATTTAATGTGCGCACATTAAATGGATTTCGTGATGATTCTAGTCACAAATTATATTTTTCACTTCTATCAGACTCAAAATATAAACCTTCTTACTGTCGATCGATTCATTTATTGCAATGTTACTGCCGCGCTCTCTCTCTGCATAGAAACGCAACTGAAGAGAAACATATTGATGAAAGAGGCCGAAGAAAATTGAAAATTGATTCCTGGACTAGTCTTTCGAGCTTGTAATTTGTTTGACAATTTTTCATATCCCGTATATAAGGTCAAGCAAATCAGCATCTAAACGTCGCGTTGAGAGCAATTAAACCTGAACGTATAGCATAGTAGGTACCAACAGAATGAAAAGATGCGTTGATTTTGCCCATATATTTTTCGTGGACTTGATCCAAACCATGGGAATATTCGAAAATATATCGTCTTGGTTATGTATGAATTCGACTCCTGTGTACATTTCCCTTGTTACTTGAGCCATATATTAGCCCGTACAGAAATCCAGATTTTATGGGATGGTCTAAACTACGTAGTCAGTGTATATTAAAGATCATATATGTTAAACAATGAACATGTCTCTGCATCGCTGAACTGGTATGAATACAAAAATAAGGGAAAATGTATTCGGAATTTGATGATCACAACATTGACAGCCCTGATACGGGTGACAGAGATATGTAGCCTAGAGGATCATGTTGACGACTTGACACCAACTTTATACACTATATAATTGAGAACATGAATGCACTTGAGTTTGCATACTTGACAACTTTTCACACTCACAACGGAACATTTAACGCAAGGTGTACCTCGCGCACAAACTCCAAGAAGATAAAAGATATAGTCTAACTGGGGCCAAACAATATAAATATTCCGAACCCTCAATTTAGTTTACAGATGACTTACTATGAGACATATCGAAAGATCTCCTTTTCTTTTCCCTTCTTACTTTAGAGTCTGGTTTCGCATTTAATGCAACTTGAGCCAAAACTTGTAGGTTTTTACTCCGTTGAGGTCAAAGCCCTGGACTGGTGCGTCAATGATGAGACCATGGATTGACTCGTTTCTCAGATGCCTATCACTTTTTCTTTTGCTAAGTCAATGGCTCACTGCACTCTGCACGAAGATCACTCGAGCAAGCATGTGAGGGAATTGCAAATCTCTACAAAGAGATTCCATCACTTCTGGGCCTGTGGATTTGTAGTTTCCTTGAAAGCTTTAGTATTTAAGAAGAATTCTTTTCTTCTCATATACAAGAGCAACTGATCTATACGGCTAAAAACATCAATTTACTGTGTTTTGATGTTCGTACATTTGGATTTTTTTCAAACAATCTATTTTACATCATAGGTTTTTTAATTTCTAGTTAAATTTATGAAAAAAAATTTGGATATATAATAAAATAGTTTGATAAAATAAATAATGAAATATGTGTATTTTTTATACATAAAAAAATTTAATTTCTTACATTTGATGCAAGCCAAAAATCCAATTTTTTAATCTTTGTCATATTTACGATATATGAACAAATACAGGTCGAGTCTTTCCAAATATAATATAGACTATGAGCTAATATGAACCTAAAAAGCATTGATTACATTTTTCTTATTCTTGATGTGAAAAAAAAGGATTCAAGATATCACACTTCTTTGACATCATATAACAGATTGAAATCTTTTATATAAAAATCGTAAGAATTTTACAAGTTTAATTTTTGTAAATGTAAAAAATGAAATTAAATAAAACTGAAAAAATAAAAATAAAAGTAGGTAAATATGAAAATTAAAACTGATTTTTTGAAAAATTAAATCTTGAATATCAATGATCATTTTATAGCCAAAAAAATTTAATTTTTTTTATGAAATTAAATTGTTCTACTTCTTGTTCTATCTGTAGAATGCAAACCATTAAGTCATTAAGTTTCTTTAATGAAAATTTTGTGGAGTCTTAAAAATTAGAATTAAAGAGTAGGTAACTGCAAAGATGTGAGGTTTTTACACATGTTAACAACACAATAATTTTTGTGAAAAGAAAATTCTCACTTTCAGTCGTTGAACGTTTCTATTTAAATGTGTCAACATACAAGAATCAAACACATATATGATATAAATTTATACATCGTGCACACAATGTACATGAGTTAATAGTCATATTTGTACATGAGTAATATAACTATACAGTTATTCATGCAGATATCACTACCTAATTTATTGTATTTTACTTGCAATAACAACCTCAATATTCTGATCACATTTTTATGTATCCAAATGAATAGAAAATGAAAATTTCATAGAAATTCAATAAATAGAGAAATATTTCCTTCATGAACTATAAAATTTTGCATGACGTGTCATCATTCAGTGTTTCTGAAATGATAAAAGTCGAATATTGAAACAAGAAAATTCGTACAAAATTGTATCAGCTGAATCATTTGTTACAATAATAACAGCTTTTGTGATAGTTATAGCATGGACTTTTGAAAACCTATATCATCAATTTATATGAGATCAATATTATATTGCAATATATTTAACTACATATATTTTATTAGATTCAAAGATAAAACTAACTCAAAATTATCGGTGTCTACTGTGTGATAAGGAACGTAATCTTATTTCGTATAAACATAGTATGTTTTCCTCACTATCACTCTTCATTTTGGCGAGAACCACTAAAGCGTATGCTGTTTTGTGTATGAAAACATTCGTGGCCACAAAATGAATACCTAAAGAGCAATAGCCTCCCCAAATTATTCTTTTCATAAATGTCCACTCGTGCATAGATGTTACAGTAAACTTATTGTTCTGTTTCTATATAACCTTAGACTCTTTTGGCTCCAACTTTGAGCAAGAATATAAGTTGAAGCCTCTCATATGTTCATATTTCATATAAGAGGCATATACTCTCAAGAAATCTCTTTAAATCAATGGATTTCTAAATTAAGAATTCTTCATGGTGATTATTTCGTGTAGGTACAAATTTATTGACCATGTACGTTCAAATGTGAGAAATTATGTGTGATTCTGTACGAACGACCTCTGCAATACTCATGATAGGTAAATAAGCATGAGGAGGGTTTGCCTCGATAAAGATGCAATTGTCAAACATTTAGACAATTTTGTTACGACAGGGAAGAAAAGAAAGAAGAGGAGGAAATATGATGGAATATGCATGTTGCCTTGCCTTGTATGTGCATCTTATTGTATATAAAATCAAAATAAATTATGAACAAATGAATAACATGAACATCTTTGGAGATAGTTTCAAGGCTTAAATAGTAGATCCATCAGAAGCAAAACGAGGGTCTATGACAAGATTCTCCATGTGCACACACTACTCTCGATATCACAGACATCACTTTTCCGTGTCATCATGTGATAAATGACCTGCTTTCTAAGCTGAAGATATCATATACTACCACATACTGAATGAGTGACTTCGCTATTAAGAGTCAATACCAAGTAACATTGAAATCCAAAAGCCTATTAGACTTAGTTAGATATATTGCTTGATTCTTGGTGGACTCCACCGGAGAAGTGAGATCCATCCTCAACTTGGCAAATATGTAGTCTACTGGAGTCCAGCAACGGTCTTAGAATTCTCTGCATCAATAATAGACCTTAATAATAGAATAACGGATTTAACGAATCTGCAACAACTTCAAGAATTTAACTGCACTTTATCTCTGGATTAAGAGTACTGAATTCGACAAAATACTTGTACCAAAAGTAATTGAACACTTCTAAAAATTCAATCTAAGTCAAGAAATGATTCACTGAATAGATCCCAGAGGTAATTAACTGTCTTGAACTCAAACAAGCAGTTGATTATTAGTTTAAGCAGGCTTAAAATATGAACTTAGAACCACCTGTCTCCGAGTAACTGGTCATTTCTGTCATCATCACAATGTTAGCCTAACGCTTACTTGTAAAGAAAACTTAATGGTCAAAGAACTTTGTTCATGATTCCTTTTCCCTCTAAGAAGCAAACTAGGAAGTGAACCTGCGTGATGGATGTACACAAAGTTAAGGAACTCTTCTTCAGACAAAGACATAGACGACACAAAACATCTGACGACGGTGGCCTTTCTAAAGCCAAGATAGTAAAGACCACCACCACTAGGATAGTAAAGACCACCCTTACCGACAAATAATTTGCGTTGAAATGCAAGAGATTAATAACTTAAGTGGACTTAAAACTTTTCCATGAAATGTCTAGATATTTTTGCCAACGGAAGACCAAGTATACCTCAGATTCTACTCTTCCAAATCTATGTGTGTGTGTCTATATATATATATAATATACATATATATAATAATTTAATCATTATATTATCTCAAGATGTCAAAGTTTTTCTTCTTCTGTTTTTGCTTTATTCAAATCTTATGGTTCGAGGTATTGTGAGATTCTTTTCATTCTCCTATAGTTTAAACATACATCTTCAACTAGCGGCCGAGCAGATTATTTCACAATTTTCATCATGCTTATCACCTTGTTCCTATTCCACCATAAGAATTTTGCACATGACAACCATGTTTATTTCAAGAAAAAGGAAACGGTTGTTAAATTAATTTCATTTAACTAATAAGTTGGAATGTCACTGTAACTAGACGTACGAAGTATCAAAACCAGTACGAAAAGTAATTTCATCTGAAGACTTGAATGAGCAGACATACAACAATTTTATACTATGGCTATATTACTTCATGCCCCCCAATATGGTGTCACTTTTGACATTGTAGATGTACTTATTACGTGAAGTCATTGTGCTCACCTCGTTCAAAGATTGTTACACATTTTTTGGATGCATATAAAGTAACATTTGATTAAACAAAGATAGAAAAATAAATAACCTGATTCTGTACACAGCAATTATACTGATTGCTGCTCTGATCATTCTTCTTAAAACATAAATACTTGATATGCGTCAAACTGCTTCTAGCTCCGTAGCTTACAGGATTGGAAGATTAAAAATCAAAATGCTTTGAACATGAAACTTAGGTTATAAAATACTTCTCGATATTACTTTTTGCTGGAACGAGAAAAAACATCATTTGCTTTCCACTTTTGAAGTCCATGGCTACCGTAGTTTGTATGGAAATGTATCAGAGACGTGAGCAGCTGCCATGATTGTAAGCATTTCTTCACCAACTGATGAACTTTTGGCTTCATGGAGGAGGACGGAGGAAATCGAGAGGCGAAGAACATGGCTGTTTCTAACTCTTGGACCCACAAGTAAAGTTGTGCTCAAAGCGGAACGGGACAAATTAGAAGAGAGAATAGAAGAGGTCTCGAAGGACTGGATCGTAGAGTAAGAGCTGTGAAGTGACAAAGAAGTTATAACAACGGAGAAGAAAATTGTAGTCAGTCTGCTGCCAGTGAAGCAGGTTGAAGACATGTTGAAGCTGGCAGTGTGCTGGAAAAGGAGTTCCGGGATTTGAGCAAGGGGACAAAGAATGCGTGGGGACATGACGGTGGGGCTCAATGTGTGGGTCCCAGGACAATGCATCTGCATTACAATGCAATGGAATGCAGCAGTGGTGTAGGCCTCCCTAGGCCTACGATAGGGAAGGTTTCACCAGACAGATATCACTTTGCAGTGAGGCCAACAATTCTGGTGTACGCCATGTGCTCTAGGTAGGCCTGTTCTCTTGGTTTCATCCGTTCCATGCCCTTCTGCCCAGTAGGAAGGGAACGAGGGAGGCCCATGGGGTCAGCTCGGCTAGATCCGTTGAAAACGGATAATTGAAAGCGCTCTCAGCTCCTAATGGTGGAGTAAAGAAAAGATAAAAGTCAAAGTGTGAATCATCATTCTGCGCCTGGTCGACGAGACTACGAAAAGCTTAGACAACGAGAGTGGAGGCTAGAAGCTCTAGATCCCTTTCAGCTCTGGTATCGGATAGACATTCATCCTGAAACCTTCTGAGCTGTTGATCAATCAGAAGTTTCATGAAGTCAGGGATGGGAAGATATGAGACTGTAGCCGAACCAGGCTCATAGGTTCCTGATGCTCTATCTGTGGACGGCTCTTGCCAGGCGGATTTTCAGAGCCAAGAGCAGACTCTGAGGTACCTGGCAAACCGAGTCAGAGATCAGAACTGAAGAGAGTCCAGGAGTCTCTCGGAATGGATCCTGTCGAGAAGAGAAAGCAGTCAGTTGCGCATGGGTGGATGATTGACGCTTGATGAGCTGATTGCACTAGTGTACCTGTCGGTATAACTTCGGACACATAGCAAGCGTTTCTATGAGATGAGAACTTTTAGCAAGTACACCTCTCCTCCCTCTCCCTCTCCTTCTCCTTCTCTCTCTCCCCTCAGCCACCAGGTTCATGCAATACATAGGTAGGCACTACGGGGAGAAGAGCATCAGCAGGGCCCGGAGTATCTCCAAGTGTCGAAATTCGACAAAGACTGAAGTGTTTAAAAATGCATGTGAGGAACAATGCTAAGGTCGTCATCTCCGCGTAAGGTTCACAACACAGGTTGCGAAATTTAGTTTGCGTCTTGCTTTCCAGCCTCCAAATGCTCCACATATGGGCCCCAGTAATTACAGCCAGTCTTTGTACACTCACCAGCACATAAAATCTCACTTCCAAACTGGCAAGACTTTAGAACCACACGAAAATCTCCTTCCCTTCAGCTGTCAACCAGGTACAAGGCCGTACTTGAGGGAAGTCTCGACTGCAGTTGGCACATAGGCATGACGATCCACCTAAACGAACACCGTTAGTTTGAAGATTAAGTTATTGGAATAAGTCTTAGCAACAGCAAGGCTCATCAGCAGGTGGATGCCCGTAGAAAGAATTTGATCACAGTGCAGTGGACCCTGCAGCAATCAGGGAGGGATGCTTTAGGTGCTTTACAGACGTCTGTGGAGAAGTTCTGACAGTGGCAAGCTTTAATCACGGGCCTGGGCAATTAAGAGTCGGCTGGCACAGGGACCCCTGTTTGTTGGGGCACGGGTGATCCCTGCCTTGCTGTTCGAGCTCCTTGAACCACATTTTCTACAGACGGATAATCCGTGGACTCTCGGATACTCGAGTTGGCAAAGGTACAAAGCGCTTATGACCAAGGGAAGGTGAGTGAGTGCACGTTTCGACATCATCTTGTCCTCGTCTTGTAGCGTGTTCATCGTGATTTGTGCGAAATCCTATCTCACTCACTTCCTCAGACGACAGACACCTCCAGTTCTAGAGCTGTAGATGGAGCCATTCGTGACGCTTTTGGTGCTCTAGAACTTTCGTCCTTTGGACGAACTCGACCCAAAACGACACGACATGCCTGACCGCCAACGCTTCCGCCTGAAGTTTCCTAAAAACGCGCGGAAACGAAGTGGTCTTACTGAAGAATTTTCTGAAGGACAAAGTCAGCCGGATCCCAACGCAACGGCGGGACGCTGATGATGGAAGCGTGCTCGAGGTTCCTACCATCATGAATGCTGTTGCCGGTGTAACCAATTGCACAGAGCAGATCAGTCTGCAGGAGAGAAAACGAAAGTCAAATGACACGGAACTCCATGAAACACTCGGGAGCCTGGATCATCGCACAGAATGACACGGAAGACCAGACCAGAGAGGTCATGATATCACGCCAGGACAGGCTGAAGATGGACAAGGTTGCGAATAAAAGAATAGTATCGTCGCGCCGAGAAACGGCATGACTTGAAGAATTCGAGTTTCTCCCGTGGATAATTTATCCTTTACAAATTGGCGGTACACATGTAAAACAGGAGAGCTATAAGAGAGAACGACTTCTATAAGAGAATAGTCAATGTATGATGAATGTCTACGTTCGTAAATTTGGTATCATCTATGATTTCTGTATCTTTCCTCAGCTTTCTCACTGAGGGAAAATGGATCCGACCGAACCAATTTTAATTTTGTGTCGATTCTAGACAATTACTGTACACTTTACCGGCAGCTGTTCAATCGAGCGCAGGAAACCGACTGTATGCCATCAACTGACAACCATCAGCCAGCCAGATAGGCGAGCATGAACTCATATCCGTTTCTGCAATTCGCGCATCGTATGACATGCACCCAGTGCAGATGGAAAGATCCAGAAGGCAAGAGAAGACTATCTCCCGTTTCGACCCGTGAGGCCCTCCTGTCGCCCATGGGGCAAGCTCTAGATCTGACGCCTCTGAGCCAAGTGTATGACAGGCTTCGTCATCGTCAATGTAGAGTCTGCCTTATATAAAAAAATTGCGTCCAGCACTTGGCTGGATAACTCTTCTGAACTTTTTGAATGCACGGGCACTCATTCATGCGAGTAAGACGAAACGAGTAAACCTCAAGCACTGGATTTCACCGATTTCTTGTAGTCTGTAATTCTCTCGACGACTTTCTCAATGCTCAGCTCGAAGGCATCTTTGGAAGCGCTCCGGATGTCGTTTGAATAGTCGTTGTAGATCAGATTGGGGATGATCGAAATAATGGTCTTGCGCATTTTGTGAATTCTCTCCTGAGAGTATCCTCTGAGCACCTTCGAGATCGTCACGCCGGCCTTGAGATCATCTTCCGAAATGTAAACGGAATAGCTCGTGGGGTCCTGGGGCAAGTGCCAAGTGTACTGCGTGTACGCCGAATCAGGATGGAAGAACACGGGAATAGAGCCAGCGATCATGCAATCGAACGTGGACCTCCTGGTGGAACTGTCTCCCCTGGGCTGCAAGCAGAAATTGGATTTCAGAAAAGCCTTGTAGATGGCGAGGGGATTGTGGCTGCACGTAATCTCATGACAGTCCACCATGTTGCAAGTCTTATTGCCGGCTTTCGCACACTGCGTGCTGAGAATTCCTCGAACGCTCCAATCCAGCTCCGGTCGAGGGGCCCCCACGTAGGCCATGAGGAAATTCCTCTCGGACCTCTGCACTTCCAGGATCCAGCTCCACAATCTCTCCGGAGAGGACGGGTGAAATCCTGTCGGATAAGGAATAGCCTGCTCGTTCTCGGTTGTGGGCTCCCTCTCCATCATGAGGTTGGTCGTGTTGAAAATGTATTGGCGGTCGACGAATCCGGTTCCCCAGTATTTCTGCAGGCGGAAATCCCAGCACGTCCTGCCCCAGAGCATGAAATGATCTCTTCCCTGGTACTTATGCCAATACTGGTGCGCATTTTTGTCCATCCACTCCACAATCTCGGACCCAAAATTCGCCCGCTTGTCTATGGTGTCAGACAAATCGGGCTTCTCGTACAGCATGAGCAGAGCGTCCACACCAGTGTAGTAGGGAATGAAGAATGCGTCGGCCCTGGATGGATCCAGAGTGCGACAAGGATACGATTGCATGCGCGTGTGAAAGATCACCTCCAGCATGTAGGAATCCGTGTCGTACCAGTGCTCGTCCCACTGCCCTTCGTACTGGGTTCGATTCAGGTAGCGAAGGCCATACCCCCCGTGCTCGAAGCGGCCGCAGAGATCCAACCATGCCATGAGCCCTTCCCTGCACATAGTCTTGTTGAGGTAAAAGTCGACGTTGAACTTGGAAGGAAGCTCATACATGTACACTCTCCTACCCCTACAAACGGAATCCGCATCCTCTACCTCCTTGGAATTGATGGCATAGGAGACTATGAGCGCAGGCTTCAAGCTCTCGAGGGACAGGTAGCCAGTGTCCACCGAGTCGAAACCTGTGCAGATGAGAATTATGAGAGCAATGGCGAGCAGGCATATCCAGAGGTACAACTTCGGTGAAGGCATTTTGGAGCCCTTTTTCATCGCGCGATGAAACCTCTCTATAGTGCCGGCCTCAGACTCATCTAATCTGCACGCGAACTCATGGGAAGCACGGGAAGTCGTTCTCCTGCATGACCCCAGCACTCCGCCTGTGTCTGCTGCGTGCATCAGAGTCGAGTCGCTCTAAGAGATTTGCGCGCAGTCGCCCGTGCTTCCTCCGCATCCAATTCCAACCTCCCCCGGTCTCAGTAATTCCCCATCTTCACAAGTGAAAACCCATAAATCTCAACTTTGAGCGTAGTCATTAGTCGGGGACATCGACAATTCAGCGACGCTTCTGCCACTTGCAGCAACAAATTGCACCGATACGCAAATTTCTACAACCCTCTGGAATTTGCTGCACCGGGTTCTCGTCAGGAACTGGATGGATATCAGCTTCTGAGAATTTCGGATACGGGGGGCATTATGGCAGCATGTCAGTCTAGACACTCGCGGACCTGCCTTGGAGACATCGAGTACTGTCGGAGTCTCACTCCCAGTGGAAAGCACTCTCCCAGGACTGTCCTGAGAGAGCAATGCTTACACGAGAGGAGCGCTAGAGCTCCCCGGTACTCATCAATCTGAGACTGACAATCGACACAAATTCTCCCTTTGGGCTTGGGCTGAGCGAATGAATCCCCATAAAAAATGTAATCATGGACGCACTCACTGCTGAACCAATCTGGATTCCCTTTTCAGGTTTCTAGATGCCTCCTTGTTTATGAGTTAATTGATCAATCACCTACTGTCCGCCTGTCCGCCCGCATGGACTGATACTGTTCGCCCGGCCTTCCGCGCCCGCACATCCGATTTCCACTCCACTCCCTTGATGCCTCCTCCCTCCCCGTCCTCGCCTAGACTTCCTAATCTGCATCCTCTTCTTGTGCAACAGTCCTCACCTAGCGCTCTCACGATCATCGGGGCAAAAGTTCGTGTTCCGCTGCCCCCCACTGGCAGCCGGAATCGTCCCCGGTGGGAATTTCTTTTCCCACGTCTGGACTACTCGATCTCGTGGCTGTGGTGGGCCACTGCGTGACCGTCATCATCGCCATCCCCACTCTCTTCTCGCTCTCCTGGCTCTCTTCGCTATCGCGCTCTCTTTCTTCCGATGGCTTCCGGTCGCCGAGGCCGACGACCCGATTCCCTTGCGTCCCTCCCTTCGCTTGCGGACCCGCCCCGCCCACCGCCGATGCCGTCGCTGACATTGGGACGCTTTCTACAGGATAACTGTGTCTTCGCGACTTACTGGCTGGCACATGGCGCAAGTGAATCGCAGTAAAACAAGGCTTCCGCCACACCTCTTTGACGGGACTTCCTTCGCGGTCCGCCCGCTTCTCTGCCCGCAGCCCGCGGCCTGCCCGTGCGTCCTCTGAAGATGTACACGCCCCCCATTCGTGCCATCGCCTCTGTCTTGAGTCCAGACTTCGGCTAGCCACTGGGCCCAATCAGCTCCGATGAAGCACGACAGCAAGCGCGTCTTCCACCGGCTAAGACCCGGTTAGTCTGTTTGGACCGCCTTTCTTACAATAGCTCGTTCTTCGTCCAGCGCTAAAGCCCTGATATTTCCCAACGTCGAGCCCATGACCGATGCCCCCAACGGCACCGCCAAACCAGATCTGGTTTGGATCGAGGACACGAGGCACTTGTATGCGCTAATCATCCTGCCAGCTGAATGCTATTTAGTTTGTCCGGACCGCTTTTCCCGAATGGTTATTTTTTGAATTGCCCGGATACTTGCGAACCCTTCGCCAAGTCCGTGTCCGTTCTCCACATCGGGGCCATGGGGACCGCCAACGATGGCGTCTATTGCCTCCGCCGATGGAGCGCGCCTTAATGAGCTTTCCCAACCCCATCCAACTGAAGGTGGACTTGTTTTGGCAGAGACCAGCCAATTTGAAACTCCACATACAGAGAGACGGAGATGGACCCTTGAAAGGCCAAATTTATCTGCTGAAAGGCCGTCAAGACAGAACCCGACCGACAATCTGCTCCGAGCAGGCGCTGATAATTCTCGCTGATGTCGTGGGTTTATTAGGGTTCACATTAACTACCATTGCACCCGGTCAACAAACTACCCTCTAGTGTCTTAATTTGTCTGTTAGATAACGAAATTCTCTTTGGATGTTTGAACAACTTCAGGGTCCGACCTTCAGTCTACAGTGAGAGTCAATCGTGACCGTTGAAAACTTACTTTTCAAACTGGTAATGACTAAAGTACGTTTCTCCTGGGAGAGTTACGCTGTACCAGTTTCACATGGTCCATTGGATCCATCTATTGAATCATTCGTGTTTTCGTGGCCACCAGCGGCTTGGGGAGATCTTCCTCTCACTATGCGACTTAATCTTGAAGTATCACTCTGAAAACCAGAAATATAGTTAAAAGGATGAGAAGATCCCATGAAAGCCCTCTTTGCCAGATAGTGTACTTATTATGAATCGAGAATATGACACTACTAGATTATTTTGGGTTACTTGATTACACTGATTGACTTCTTTTCACATTTTGATTCCAAGATTAACAACTAGTTGATATGTGTGTGAAGTGGATGTGATATATACATTACAAAACATATGATAAAAAATAAATTTAATAAATAGGAAAATTTTTCTACAATGATCAAGTAATGTCTTGTTTGGTTCATCCATGTGCATTTCTATTCCACCATATCAATATGTAATTAAAACGTAGATTCCGTAGAACTAATCATAGATTAGAGTAGAACTAACCATCAAGTAATGAATTCTTTCCCATCACATAAGAGTGGAAATTTCACAAGGAGATAGCATCAAATGAAAGATTGCACACAAAGTCAATGGATCAACAGGACATGCTTGAGTATGTTAAATTAAACGTTACATATAGATATTTTAGTACAGTATTATATCTCTATGCAATATTTATTATCATTGGAAACTGTTGTGACTATGTGTAAACCGTATCATGACTTTCTGCCCAACAAATTCAAACTTGATGATCAAGTATTCCAATTTGATCTACAAATCCAGTATGAGTAACTTAAGCTAAATAATGCAACACATCACATAACAGGGTCAAAGTAGTAGAGAAAAGGACTCTTAATTCAGCGCTCATAAACATAAAGCAAGCTAGATAATATTTATTTGAGCTTTAGCTGAGTTTTGTTAAGCAGAGATTACTTTCAGAACTATTTTGAAGAGAGAGAGAGAGATATACAGAAATGAACCAGAAACTGACTGTACAAAAGGTTCGGAGGTCCACAAAACTCCATCATTTTCTTTGACACCTTTAAACATTAATACACTTGAGATAATATTAAGTTTTTCACCTTCAACATAGTTCGATATATGTATGTAATGTTCAACAAAACCACAACACAACCTCATATTGTGAGGACTGTGAACTAGTATGATAAAGGATGTATTTCAAATTGGGAATAATGATGAATGACCATTACATAAGTAGAAAATCACAATAAAATCTCTGCCGTAGCCATTTCAAGAAAATCTGTGAAATCTGAGTATGTTACATAAAAAATTCAACATAATACTTAGTTAAAATACTAAAAATCATACTTGAAGTTGGAGAAACACAATTTATGCATCTGAATCCATGGGGTATGAAACCAAGGAGAGAACAATAAAGAATAGCCCTATTCACCTTTGATTAAACAACAATTTGGTATAAATATGACCAACATACCAAATCCATGTGTATGTTGGAAATGATAAAATAAATTTAGATTAAGCTTCTATTAAAATACTAAATTGATAGTTTTGAACATTGTTGATTTTCTTACATGCACATTTCACTGTTTCAATCATATGATGAGTGTATTTATCTACTATGATTTTATGATAACTACGAGGTTAGGAATGTGTACAACATCTACCATTGTCATTATGTATCACACACATCTCTAGATATATGATAGATCTTGAGCTTTATGGGGTATGTTGAAGAGAAAAGAAATGAGTGCTAACACAATGAGGACAACAATGATACATATAATTTTTCATACATCTCTTTCCCACATACAAACCAGAATCGTCTATTACCTACAGTGAGAAAGAGAGCAACTATTGGAAACACATAGAATCCAAAAAATCTCTCAGTTTATTTCAATATTCACCATTATCCGACCAGATTGTAATAGAGAGACTACAAAGAAATTAAAATATTGGAGGAAAGAATACGGAGTCATCAGTTGAGATTGAACAAAGTAACTTTGAACCTTACGAAAATGGAACTCAAATTCACTATGTAAATTTCTCTGTAGTTTTGAATGGATGCATCATTGAATTCGAATATAAGAAACTATCCAAATTTTCCTGTCATTGTCAATATTTGGCAACGTTTTTGACACCATGGCTACAGATACTCTTCACGGCCTTCTACTACCTTCCTATCACTTCTCAACCAACAAAGTCAAACAAGGTTTGACACTGATATCGATTTCGTACTAGAGGAGTATTGTCACACAAAGGAACGAATAAACCCCAACGCGGAATAATAGAGGAAGTGACCGAATGAGGTTAGTTCCATTGCTTGCAAAGGCTACGGAAGGAAGCCTGCAGCCTCGGGTAAATTCCTTGTTGAGTAATGTCGAAAACATAAAAAAATTTACCTTTGATCCAACAAGTCAGAATAGAATCAGTATAGTGTAACTCTCGTTTCATTTAACAGGGTTAAAACATGAGGATATTCCAGGACACTTATCACGGACTGCATATATTTCTAAGTCATCAAGACTTTGAGAATGAATCCGTACTTGCACATCACTGCAACAATGAAAACCGAAGCTTTCATTCCTTGCTCTTGAGTGGCGATGTTGTTGTCCTTGTAAGAATGGTGACTTAGTTCGCATGGAGAAGAACAGAATTCTCAAGAACAAAGTTTTCTAGAATCAAGCTTGACTTCAAGCGTCAAGGTCGTCTTCTGTATAATCAAGAGAAAAAGATTCTCGTTAGAAAGTTTTCCTAGATAGAAGACCAGTCGTTGTCTCCGTGCTGAACACGCCCTCAGCATAAAGGTGTGGAGGGAATTGATCATACGGTCGCTATTATTCATCACATCGAGCATCCTTGAGCTCCATTAATCTCGTGGAACGACCTGGGAGTCACGTGAATGGCGGTTTATAATAAGGATGTGAGGAGTTTTCGTCCTCCTTATGGTTGCTTCATAGACCGAATTGCATAGTGACGTCGTTGATGTGCTCTTTTTGCATGATTCACAGCCCAGTAGTCATGGAACTTTGTATCTGGAGTCTCTCCTATCCTTTTTGTTATTTTTTGTACAGTTGGGAGCTTTTCCTCATGCAGTCTACCTTCCAAACATTGGAAATAATTTTGTAGACTGTACTTGAAAATATTTCTCTGACAGACATCAAACAGATCTAAATGGAATGCACGTTGTTTGTTTCGAGTCAAGTTGCAGTTGATGTAAGAGTAGTACATGAAACTCGCTGGCAAACTGTTGGTGTGATTAGTGAAGTTTCAAATGATTACAGTATTTTTTATCCAGCTGGATTTTGACATAATTTCAAAAATTAGATCTCTTGAAGCACTCATTCTTTACTTTCGTATACTTTGAGAATATATTATACCAAAAGAGGCATTGGAATACGGAGACTGGCTTTAGAGTTTAATACTAGAGAACTAATACTAGGAAATCCCTGCAAAATACCTTTGCGTCTAGAAAATGAGCCATGAAAGATGGAGAGGTATAGTCCGTCATGCACATGGATCTTATGACTTGTTGATCGACGAAAGTTCTTCAGATTGCGTCTGTATGCAGGAAATACTTTATAAACATTAAAATTTCAGGAGGAGATCACTGCCAGCGGAAAGTTTGAATTAAAAGAGAAATTTCCCACACCAATTTTGTCCATTACAAATGCTCAACATTCGTTGTGGACGAATTCCTTAAAAAAAGAACACAATTCATAATGATCTGTAGGAGAAGGAGATCGTGGAAAT